GATAATGGGATAGGCTTTGGGATAATGGGACAGGTCTGGGATAATGGGATAGGCTTTGGGATAATGGGACAGGTCTGGGATAATGGGATAGGCTTGGGGGTAATGGGACAGGTCTGGGATAATGGGATAGGCTTGGGGGTAATGGGACAGGTCTGGGATAATGGGACAGGCTTGGGGATAATGGGACAGGTCTAAGATAATGGGACAGGCTTGGAGATAATGGGATGGGCTTGGGGGTAATGGGACGGGTCTGGGATAATGGGGCAGACTTGGGGGCAATGGGAGAGGTCTGGGATAATGGGACATCTTGGGGACCGTGGGATAGGCTTGGGGATTCCAGGACAAGTCTCGGGGTAATGGGACAGGTCTGTCAGATCCATAGGGAGGGGTCAGATCCATGGGGAGAGGGGAGTCAGACCCATGGAGAGGGATCAGATCCACGGATCCATGGGCAGAGAGGGATGAGATCCATGGGGAGCCTCATGGCTGGCTGCTCCTGGCACAGGGATGCTCCTGGCATTCCACCTCATGCCATAGGGAGCAGGGGATGTGTGTGGGCCAAAGCAGAGCCGAGCACTGAGGAGCTTTGAACTATTCCCATGGGAATGCAGCATGGAAGCTCTGCCAGCTGCTGTGGCACAGCCCAATAAACCCCCAAATCCCTCGGGATGGCTTCTGAGCTGGGGCAGATGGCAGGATTGCTCTGAGCCCTGTGCCTTGGATCTCCATGGAAAAGGGCAGGGAGGGGCCCAGGTCTGGGAGATGCCCACGGCTGGGGGATGCCCGAGGTATGGAATACTCTCCCAGGCAGGACCCAGAGGGGCTGATCCATGGGTTCCCTGCTCAGATTTAGAATTTGGGACACTGCCGTGGCCCCTCTCCCTCCCCGGCTCATCCTCTTCCGGCACTGCCGGGAACTGAGATTTCCTGTTTTGCCTTCGCACCCCAGAGAGGAAGAGCAGGAGTGGGCGGATGGAGCTCTGGGCGGGAACCCGGAATTCCCCCGGGATATCCCCCCCAGAGAGGCCTGGATGCTCCAAGTGTGCTCTCACCTGAGCAGGTGACAAAGGCAGGAGTTTTCCCCCGGGGGCTGGTCCTGTTGAAGCATTCCAGGAGGGAATGGCTCTCACAGGAATCCAGCACTTCCCACCTCACTGGCAGGTGGGTCCCATGCTCCGGCTCCTGGTGTCCGTGCCCGGCGGTGCCGCAGCGCAGGTCCCAGCAGATGCGGGTGCCCAGGTGTGCCCAGGTGTGCGGGGGCATCCTGGCCACGGCCCCCCACAGCCCCCCCTTGTGCAGCTCCAGGAATCCGGAGCAGCTGAAATTCCCGTCCGCCAGCCGCAGCCGGGGCAGTCCTGGAGAGGGATTGGGGGGAAGAGCAGCGTGTTAGGGATTGGGGTGACATTCTTTTCCATTCCTGAGGAGAAAGTCCCTTAATCTGGAGTTTAATCACTGCATGGATCCCCCTGGATGGGGGCCTTAGATCCCTCAGAAAGGGGGTCTCACATCCCCTGGGATGGGGTGCTTAGATCCCCCGGGATGGAGGTCTTGGATCCTTTGAGATGGAGGTCTTAGATCCCTCAGAATGGACTGCTTAGATCCCTTGGGATGGGGACCTTAGATCCCTTGGGATGGGGACCTTAGATCCCCCGGGCTGGGTGGGAGTGTTGGATCCCTCGGGATCGGGGTCTTACCGGTGGGCTCCAGGGTGGTGTCCGGAGGTGCCGGTGGGGGCTTGGGAGTGGTTTTCTCTGGCTCTGGAACGAGAAGAGAAGGAGCCCCATCAGCCTGGATGATCCCTAGGGATTGAGGTGAGCGGGGTGGGGGGTCCAGGCTCACCTTTGCAGGAGACAACAACGTGCTCCGTGCAGTTTTCCAGCTCCCAGTGGCATTCCACCAGCGCTCCCTCCGGATTCCTGCACCTCACGGGCTGCGCACGTGGCTTCTTCCCGCTGGGAATGATGAGCTGGAAGGGCTCGGAGCTGGGGGGGCCGCAGCCCATCTGTCGGCAGATTTCATCCAGGTTGGACCGTCTCATGTTGTCCTGGCACACTCGTCTCCAACGGCTTTCCCAGTCCACCTCCAGTATCCCGGTGCAGCGGCATCCGCCACCGACGAGCTGCAGGCCGGGATCTGCGGGAAAACACTGGAATTATGGGGCTTCCCTTCCCTTCCCGGTAGGTTTTCCACATTCCAGGGAATGATGGAAAAGCCCTTTTTCAGGATGTCTCATGAAGTGGGACAAGGACTGGGAGTGGGGGGGATGAAGGGAGGTCACGGGGCTGAGCTGGGATGATGCAACTGGGGCATCTACCATGCTCCTGGAGCCTGGTGGGATTCCCGAGGTGTTTATCCTCCCCATTGGTGTTTATACCCCCCGTTCTCACCTCGAGGTGTCCAGGCAGCTCCTCCGTGGTCAGGAATGGCTGGAAGGAAGACAGGGATGGGGCATCAATCCCGGACCCGCCATTTTGGGGCAGAGGCTCCGGCACTCGGTGGTTTTGTGGGAGAAATGGGATTTTGGAAGGGGGGGAAATGGGATTTCGGGGAGAAAAGGGGTTTGCTGCCTGTCCGTCTGTCTTCTGGGGGTTAATTAGGGCCAGAAAAAGCCAAGGGACCTGCTAATTACCCTTAATTAGCTGCGCTCCTGGGCAGAACGTCAGGCCAAGCAGCTGGGGCGGGTGCCATGTGGACCAAGGGAAAGCTGGGAATGGCAGGAGCC